GGATGGTTTATATAAAATAAATGTTTTCTTTGTTTTGTCTTTTTTTTGCTCTTATTTTCTTTTAAGATATGAGAAATGTAAAAATATGATGGCTTCTATGAGAAAAAAGATTTAAATATTTAAGTGTAACTAATTTTGAAAAAATCTTAACCAATAAGAATGTTTTGAATACTGTAGGGAAAACAAATTTCAATAAGAATGTAAACAGGATTTATGATGAGGCAATCAAATGATCAATGAAAAAAGCTTTATACTGATGTGGTTATTATTTGCAGAAACATGAGAAAAATGTTTACATTAATGGTCATTTATTTAAATAAGAACTGCATTAATTTAAGGTTGGCTAAAGAGAATATTATTGGAAGAAGAGGAAATTAAGTAAAGTTATTATATAGAATATAGTATTATAGAAATTAATTGTTATTGATTGTTTTTTAAATACTAACTCAGACAACACAATGTTTACCAAATATTAAGGTGTATGTTAAAAATCAATAAAACATATTTTAAAAAGAAAAGAAAAGAAGAAATAGGGGTGACATAATAGCAGTATTCCAGTATTTGAGGGGCTGCCACAAAGAAGAGGGGGTCATACTATTCTCCAAAGCACCAGAGGGCAGGACAAGAAACAATGGTTGGAAACTGATTAAAGAGAGAAGCAACCTGGAATTAAGAAGAAACTTCCAAACAGTGAGGACAATTAACCAGTGGAAAAGCTTGCCTTCAGAAATCGTGGGTGCTCCATCACTGGAGGTTTTTAAGAAGAGACTAGATAGTCACTTGTCTGAAATAATATAGGTTCTCCCGCTTGAGCAGGGGTCTGGACTAGGGTTAGGAAGTTTCTCCCCTGCCTATCCTATGTAGCATGGCAATTCGGCTTGGGAGAGGAGTGAAAAGGAAGAGGTGGGCAGGCAGCTGGGTCATTGAATGGGCAGAGGAGGTTGCCGATCAGGAAATGGCCTGGCTGCAGGGGCCCTGAGGTAAGTGAGGTAAGTGAGTGCAGGGCATGTAGGGCAGCTCCACCTCCATCTGCCTCACCTCATTTTGTGGCGGTGGCACTGGTGCAATGCGTGCTCTCCTGCCCCATAATGGCAGCAATCAACCAGACTGTGGGACAGAGTAGGCGGGCTCTTAACCAGGGCTTATTTTGGGGTTAGGGCTTATATTAGCCACACACAAAAAAATCAGGCTAGGGCTTATTTTATGGATGGGTCTTATTTTCAGGGAAAGATGGTATATAGTACAGGCCATCCACCTAAGCAGAAGAAAAAGATGAACTTTTTACTAATCAGTGAATTAACGTATATAGGAGACACCACTACTGTAATGGGAAACATTAGCTATCTGACATCAACTGGGAAACAAACTCTGCATCAAGTGGAAGATTGAACAGGTTCCTTATGAGTCTAACTGACAATTTGTCATGCAAAAAATAGAGGTGGGAACTAGAGGGTCATCAATACTGAACTTAATTCTTACTAACAGAGATGAAATGATAGAGAGGGTTGAAGTTTCTGGAACTTTGGAGGAGAGTAACCATGCCATATTGGAATTCAATATAATGCAGATACAAGCAATAGAACAAAATCAAACTAGTGTCTTAGACTTTAAAAGAGCTGATTTCAACAAACATAGAGAGAGATTGGGAAGGATTCCATGGATGAATTATTAAAGGGAAAAACAACTCAAGAAGCTTGGGAAACTCTGAAAAATGTGATTATAAAAGCCAGTCCACCACAATATTGCTGAAAAAGAAAAATAAGAAATGCAAGAATAAACCAGCATGTTTCATAGAGAACTCTCTGATAAACTGAAAGATGAAAAGTATCAGTGATGGGAAGCAAGGAAAAGGCAGAGTTGCTTAATTCATTCTTTGCATCTGTCTTCCCACAAAAGGAAAAAAAATAGCCCAACCTACCAAAAACAGAATCATAAAATTAAAATAGGCAAGGAAGTAGTAAGAGAACACCTGTCCACCAAAGATGAATTCAAATCACCACAACCAGATGGATTACATCCCAGAATTCTGAAGGAGCTGGCAGACATAATCTCAGAACAACTGAACCATATCTTTCAAAAGATTCTGGAGCACCAGGGAACTACCATAGGACAGGAAAAGAGCTGATGCAATTCCCATTTTCAAAAAAAGGAAAAAAATGGATCCAGGAAGCTATACCTGGGAAGAGTCTGGAAAAGATAAGCAACAAATCTGCAAACATCTAGAAGCAAACAAAGTAATAACCACAATCCAACTTGGGTTTGTCAAAAACAAAACTTGCCAGACAAATCTTATTTCATTCTTTGACAAACAACTTTGGTGGACCAGTAAAGTGCTGTGGAAATAATTTGCTTGGACTTCAGTAAGGCATTTGATAAACTATACTACAACCTACTACTTGGCAATATTGAAAAATGTGGGTAACTGGCTGACCAACTGCACTCAATGTGTAGTCCTTAATGAAACTGTGTCTAGATTGAGGGAACTATGCAGTTGGGTAGCCCAAGGCTCTATCTTAGGTCCTATACTCTTCAATAGCTTCATAAATGATTTAGATGAGGGAATAAAAGGGGAACTCATCAACTTTGCAGATGACACCAAGCTAGCAGTAATAGCCAACACCTCAGAAGAGAGGCTCAAGATCCAGATAGTTCTCGATAGAGTTGAACACTAGGCCCTATCTAACAAAATAAAATTAAATGATGAGAAAAGTAAGGTTTTACACTTCGGCAAGAAGTGTATCAAATGTACAGGTATAGAATAGGTGGAACCTAGCTCAATAGCAGTAACTGCAAGAGGGATTTTGCAGTCCTAGTGGACAACCAGTTAAATATGAGACAGCAGTGTGCTGCAGCCACCAAAAAAGCCAATGCAATCCTAGGCTGCATTAACAGAAGGATAGAATCAAGATCATGTGAAGTGTTACACTGCTTTATAAGGCCTTGGTAAGATGATATGTGGAATATTGGACAGCTATTTGCCCAGAATGGCATAAGGTCTCCTGCTTGTGCAGGGAGTTGGACTAGAAGACCCCCAAGGTCCCTGCCATTTCTGTTCTGTAAGTACACAGGATTCATATGAAATATATAAGTGTAATCAGAGACAGATTCCCACCTAATGCACCATGTTTAGTTCTGGCATCTCACTTTAAGAAAATTCAGAAGATAGCAATGACAACAATCAGGGATTTGAAACTAACTTGTGTAAGAAATAGTGAAGGAACTGGAAATGCTTAGCCCTAAGAAGAATAGAGTGATATTATAGTGCTCTTTAAATACAGAATCACAGAGAAGGTCAAGACCTGTCCTCCATTCCATTTGATGATATAAAATAATGGATTGAAGTTATTGGAAGACAAATTACAACTCAATTTTAGAAATAAAATCCTAAGAGTAAAATGATATACAAATAGTCCTTGACTTAGAATCATAATGGATTCTGCCAATTATGGTCATACATCATGTCAGCCTAAAGTGGGTTATCACATTACCGACCTTTTTTGCAACAGTTATTAAGCAAACGCTATGATTGTTAAGCAAGCCTGTTGTTCTTTATTTTTGCCAAAAACTGGAAATAAAGGCAGATTTTCAGCAAAAATGTCATAAATCACAGGCACAATGTTGCAAATGGCCATAAATGCAGTCATGTAATCACATGGCCATGAGTCTGTCAAACTTCGGAACTGGGCCGTAAGTACCTTTTTGGGGTAGCTGCCACCGGTTCCTAAGTGACTGGTCAAACATTAAGGGCTACCTGTAACCAATCAGTCAAAGAAGTGGTTAGACTCCTTTTTGGTATATACATGTGGTCTTCGAATTATGTTCACTCATTCAGCAACCATTCAAACTTGTGACAGTGCTGAACTAGGGACTTATAATTGGTCCTCAGAGTTCTATCCATCATAAAATCCTTGCAGTCATATGATGATAATCTGAATGCCTGATATCCAGTTTACAGTTATATTGTTGCAGTAAGCTGTGGTCAAATGACTTTAATTTCCAATGCTCCCTGTGGCTTCTACAAATAAAGTCCATAAGGAAATCAGAAGTTACAATTACGTGAGGTTCTTGCTTAATGACCTATACCAGTGATGGTGAACCTTTTAGGGACCGAGTGCCCAAAAACTGGCCCTGCCCCTGCTCCACCCCTGCCCTGCCCCCATTCCGCCCCATCCCCCATCCCGCCTGCCCGCAGGGCCACTCACCGCCTCCAAGGCCCGCCACAGATTGCCCAGGCAGCCAAGCAGTGCTATGATGGTCACGCCCTCTGCCCATGCCCTGCAGCATCAATTGTGCATGATGGGGTGTGAGGACAGATTCTTGTCTACGCTGCCTGGCTGCCATGTTCTTGGTTGTGCTGCTCCACGTGGGCCACGCTCAGGGGAGACTCTCCTTCAGGGGGGCTACTGGAGAGGAGGGGGTCACGAGGGGGGAGGCAAGGCTGGGGCAACAGCATGTGTGTCCACAGAGAGGGCTCCAAGTGCCACCTCTGGCACCTGTGTCATAGGTTTGCCACCACTGACCTATGCATTCCTTGCTTAATAATGGTAACCAGTGCTGCCAGAATTGCCATTGCTAACCAGTGCAGTTATGTCACATTGTACTTTACAGCAGGAAGCTTAGGGACAATTCTATTCACAACTAGTATTCTGAGGATTAGTAGTACACTTGTATGCTCAAGCAAAAGTTAGATAGTTCTTCTCTGGGATGCTTTCATCTGCACTCCTGCACTGAGCTGTGGGTTTAACTTAACAAGCTGTCTCTTTTAAGGCAATTTTCTGTACTTTTTGTAGTTCTTTGTAGTTTTATGTTATGGATTATCAGGAGAATCTAGTTTTAGAAGACTTATAAACCATCCTTTTCTATTGATCCCATTCTTTTACCCATTTTTGTGTTATATTAGCTAAGAAAAACAAGAAGCAGAGTTTACAATGTTAGATGAAAAATCTTCTTTATCCTGCCCCTTCCCATTATTGTCCAAGAGAGCTACAAGCTTCACTCACTTGAATAGCTGAGAGGTCCTTCAGATGAATGTTGTGAATTCAAGCACAACTGTTCCAGGGAGCTAAGAAAAGAGAGAAAAGATTTTATTTTAGATTTATAGTCATCCTGCTCTCTGCTATTGGTTATGCAGGTAGTCCTTGACTTACAACACTTCATTTAGTGACCATTCAAAGTTACAATGGTACTGAAAAAAGTGACATGATTGTTTTTCACACTTACAACCATTGCACCATTCCCATGGCCATGTGATCAAAATTTGGGTGTTTGGCAACTGACTCATATTTATGACAGTTGCAGTGTCCCGGGGTCATGTGATCCCCTTTTGTGACCTTCTGACAAGCAAAGTCAAAGGGGAAGCCAGATTCACTTAACAACCATATTACTAACTTAACAACTGCAATGATTCACTTAACAACTGTGTCAAGAAAGGTTGTAAATGGGACAAAACTCACTTAGCAAATGTCTCGCTTAGCAACAGAAATTTTGGGTTCAACTGTGGTCATAAACGAGGACTACCTATATTCATGGAAGAACCATTTTCCTGAAAAGCAATTTTAATTAGCTTAGGCTTTCTTGCAGGGTGAACTAAATTTTAAATTTAAATTCGGGCTTATTCAATAACTACACTGTCCTCCAGTCTACAAGATGACACAAAAATAGGTAATCCATTCTTATTCAGTAACAAGCGATACTATCCTTACAGTTTTAAGGTGAGACAAGATAGAGTCAGTAATTAATGCTTTTATTTCTTCTCCCATCAACTTTCCTGCTGCATGGCAAAAAAAACAACAAGAAATTACTCTTCTTAACTTTATGGTGCAATGGATGATGGGAACCTGAGAATCAGAGAATTGAGGCTCTTCTTTCAATAGAAGCTTTTATAGCTGTTTTGATCATTTCATAATCATATGGAAAGCAAAACAAGTGTCCTATGCCAGCTTTCAAGTTGTTCAAGGACATACCACTGGGATAGAGGTACTGTGTGGTAGTGAGGTTTTACTTGGAATGGTTTGGAATACATATCTAGCATTATTCCAAGAGAGCAATAGAGAGTTGTCCAAAAATAAACCAAGCTGATAAGTTGGTGATGTAATAAATGAGCACAGGATGAAACAGGAGATAACACAGAGACAGGGCCACCTGAGTTCTCTTCCATTTTTTTTAAAAAAACTGCTTTTAAGGTCAATAGCATGCAACTGAAGCAGCAATGAAGTGAGGTTGCTGTTATTTTTTTAGAGATTCTGCTGATATTGTCCCATTGGAATACTACGTGATATGGGAGATATACTGCATGTTTTGGTACAATTAGAGAGGAAGCTGAATACAGAATTATAGATTAACAGAGTTGGAAAGGACTTTGGAGGTCTTCTAGTCCAACCTCCTGCTCAGGCAGGAAACCCTATACTAATGCAGACAAATGGCCATCCAAACACTTCTTAAAAACTCCAGTGATAGAGCACTCATAACTTCTAGAGGCAAGCCATTTAATGGATTGTTCTCACTCATAAGAAATTTCTCCTTTATTCTAGGTTGGATCTCTCTTTAAGTTTCCATCTGTTGCTTCCTTGGAAATCACTGTCTAAGTACTTATGTAAGTGGCTGCCTGAGGAAGCTAGGTGTCATGTTAGTCTAGCAGCAATGCAAAACAAAATAGCTACAGAAAGCAGTGGCCAACAACTTTAATGGAGAAAGGTGTGTGTTACAGCCAAAACTAGCCAGTAATTGCTAGTAGACCTCAACTTACACAATTGCCACAAAAATTGGGCATAAGTAAAATTTTTATCAGGAGATGTAAAAACTTTAACACCATATTGGCTAAATACATATTAAAAAATGTATCATGGCAAAAATAATAAACAAAACAGAACAACAAGTGTATTTGGCACAATGTAAATATAATATTATTTGAATCAAATTAAGTGTATGATTTTTAATGTATTTCCCCTTCTGTCACAATAAAAAACTGCAGTAAAGATTGGGGGAGGTCTGAGACCAGAGTCAAGGCTTTGTGGAATTGCATTTTGAATCTCTGCCCTAAATCTATGAAATCCTGAAGAAGCCCAATTATCTGCAAGGGTGAACAGAGACCCAATCAATAATTCTAAAGAAGGTAGGATGTAATGGTAAACCCCACCCTGAAATTATTAGTCCCATTCCTATTCTGTTATTACTACTAATAGTTGGCATATACATATATATATGTACACATAGACATATATTATCTTTCACAGTCTTCCTACTCTAGCTGAGGCCTTTCTAATTGAAAGGAGTAAACTACGCTGCTAGGAAGAGCATACGTACTTACCCAGTCTTCTCTGTGTTAAAATTTCCATTTTGTAGCATTATTTCAGAATGCTCTGTGCTAGTCACACCTCTCAGGCTCTCCTTCATTTCCACACTTTTAACTGGCAAGGGCAAAGTAGCATCTGGTAACATCTCTTTCTTATTCTCCAAGGAGGCTGACTGAATGAGGACAGAAGGAACTAATACAGTCTCTGCCTGTATTTTCTGAGCAGTTGAAATGGATGTGGTTGGACTGATGTTCATAGACTGCTCGCTACATAGACTGGAAAACTTGGGAATAGAAGGAATGGACAAAATTTTAGACAAACGCTTTCCTTCAGTACTCATTTCATTGATGTGAACAAAGTTCTGAATACCAGTTCCAGAATTATCCTCTATTGCTCTTCTCTGAGAAGCTAGAGCATGGACTTGGTCTTCTGAGGTTATATCAAAAGTCTGAGCATTTGTGGTACATTTTTCTTGGTCAAATCTCTCTTGAATATTATGTGCTCCTTGTGCAGAACAAAAAGTGGGTTTATGAACAGGTAGCAATATTGACAATGAGATTGGCTGTAGTTTGGCTGTTCCATGATCATGTGGGAATACAGTTCTGGGTTTAGGAATTGGCTTTTCTATAGAATATGTAGAGTCTTTATTCAGAAGTGAATGTTGTAGCTGACTGGCTAAATCATGATCAACCTCAGAGTCAGAAATAGTTTTTGCCAACATTTCTTCATTTTTTATCACAGGTCTATCTGGAGAATATGTACATTCAGCTGCATGGGAATCTTCTGCCATGTGCCCACTTTTATTGTCCACAAACAGATGGGTTTGCTGTACTAAATTCAGAATTCTTTTACAGTGGCCAGTAGCAGTGATACCAAGTTTCTGTAGGTCCTCCTTACGGAGAGAGGCCACATCTCTTACTAAGACATATCCATGTTGTTTGAAGATATCTTGATAGCTTTCCAGATGAATGATGGCAAGCCAGTCTGCAATATCAGAATCCATGTGACACAAAGGATGCATGTCAGTTCAGCAAGGAAGTAGACTTCTCAGTCTGCAATCTATGAGACATCAAAGAAAAAGTAAAAACTTTGGAGCTTAAAAATTTGCAATAGTGATGTACTCTATACTAAATCTGGTATCAGTGAAAAAGAATAAATACATTAAGTTTTCTAGTCTGAATTCTTATTTTGGTTTCAGTTGGTTGGGAAAATAAAAAGATGCTCAGTTCAAATAAAGAGTTCAGATTGCTGATCTCTGAACTCAATATAGTTATTTTGGCTAATATTCTGTTTATGACAAACGGTTCCTAAAAAAAAAACCTATTTGAACAATAGGGATCTTTCTTTTCCAGGAAAAGTGGGCTAACTAACTATTACAGAGCACTTTCAGCCATCCAGTCTTCAGTGCATCTAAGAAAGAATCTCTTTTTTTGATTTTCCACTGGAGAGTGGGGAGAACCTTCAGAATAACATTCTCTGAAAAAAAATATAGATCTACTTTAAAAAAAAAAGTAAGATTCTCCAAGAGCAAGGTGCTTTGATAGTGAGAAAAAAAGAGGAAGCGTTTGTAATAAAAAGATAGCGTGATCTATGCTACAATTTGTTAAAAGGATGAGATGAAGCAATTCACAAAAAGTCATATATAGTAAGAAATTACTGTTCATATTTATCACAATCAGTAAATAATATAGAATAAAAATGTCTTCTACTTTCATTGCATCACAGCAATGTATGGTACAGTATTTCTTTTTTTTAATAAGTATTTTATTAAATTTTATAAGGGTAAAGGGGAAGTGGGGTCAATAAGGGTATGACAAGGGGTAACAAACAAAAAAGGTTAGACCAGGGGAAGGGATAGGTACAATAGTGGGGTTGTCCCTCACAATAAGTAAACGCTTCAGCAAGTAAACCCATCCAGGTATACATATTCAATCATAGTAATTAATATAAAATAGCAATATAATATTACTAATATATTACTAATTAATTATAATACCTTTAACACATTAATGTTACTTATTGGTTATAATTATTGCTAAAATCACAAATAAAAAAGAAGAAAAATTCATAGGAATAAACATGAAATTTAAATACAAAATATCAATTATCCCATTAAGTTTCATATCCTTTTCTCATTCTATCATATTGCTAACCATTGGTAAAATTTATCCCATGTTTTAAGATAGATTGAGTCTTCTTTCTCTTTCATTTCTAAAGTTAATCTGTCCATTTCTGCACATTTGAGTATTTTTCTTATTATAATCTGGTCAGATAGTAGATTTTCATTTTTCCAGAACAGGGCAAATGCTATTCTCGCAGCTGTTAATACATGTAATATTAAGTACTCATTCTCTTTTCCATAATTAAATCCTAATATTCCTAGCAAACACAATTCCGGTTTAAATTCTATCTTTATTTTAATCATTTTTTCTAACCACATATGAATCTTAAACCAGAATTTCTTAGCGTTAGGGCATATCCACCAGAGATGATAATAAGTGCCTGGTTTTTGTTTACATTTCTAACAAATATTTGATACGTTTTTTAAAAAAATTCTCTAATCTAACTGGTGTCATATGCCATCTATAAAACATTTTATATAAGTTTTCCTTATATGCAGCTGCTTTAGTAAATTTAATATTTCGATCCCAAAGATTTTGCCAATCTTCTAAGTCTATAGAATAACTAAAGTTCCTTGCCCACACTATCATTGTTTTTTTTTACTTGTTCTTCTTCCATCTTCCATCTTAACAAAAATGTATAAAGTTTCTTGATCAGATTTTCATCTGTTTTTAAGAGTATTTTATCTAATGGTGTCTGTTCTTTGTAGAATCCCATTAATTTTACATCTTTCTCATATCTTGTTTGAATTTGGAGGTAAGACCACCATGTTAAATTGACACCATGTTGTTGAAGAGCTTGTCTGTCTTTAAGTTTTCCATGTTTATCTAAAATGTCTTTATACATAACAAGTTTGTCATAGTTAATTAAGTTTGGATAAGCAAATGCTTCCATTGTTGAAAGCCACTCAGGTATTTTCATATAAATTTTATTTTTAATTGTCTCCCATTCTAAAAGTAATACATTCCTTATGGCATGAGTTTGAAAATATTTATGTACTTTGTTTTTTTCGTACCATAAAAACGCATGCCAACCCAGTTGCAAATCATGTCCCTCTAAATAAAGAAGTCATTTGTTTCTCAGCGTAATCCATTCTTTAAGCCAAAGCAAAATAGCTGCTTGATAATAAAGTCTCCAGTCTGGGAGCCCAAGCCCCCTCTGTCTTTAGATTCTTGTAGTGATTTGATTTTAATTCTTGCTTTTTTTCCTTGCCATATAAATCTCATTATTGTTGCATTTAAATCATCAAAAAATTTCTGATTTAATTTGACGGGGACCATCTGAAATAAAAAAAGTACCTTAGGTAAAATGTTCATCTTAACAGTCGCTATCCTCCCTAACAATGTAGTTGAAGGTTTTTCCACTTTTCCATATCTAGTTTTATTTGTTTCAATAATCTTTCATAGTTGTCCTCTTTTACTGTTATATATTTTGATGTTAAATAGATACCTAAATATTTCACTTTTTTGGCTATCTGGAGATTTGTTTTTTTAATAAGTTGAAGTTTCTGTTTCTCTGTTGTTGTTGTTTTGTTTTTTTGTGTGAGTACTTTAGTCTTTTCCCTATTTATTTTCAACCCATCCACTTCTCCAAATTTCTCTATTTTCTGCAAAGGTTTAGTGGCTGTTTCCAATAGCTCCTCTAAGATAAAAACCAAATTGTCTGCAAAAGCCTGTAATTTATATTTCTGATCTTTTATCTCCAGTCCTTTAATCTCCAAATCTTGTCTAATATTCCTAGCCAGCACTTCCAATGTAAGAATGAATAACAAAAGAGACAGAGCACATCCCTGTCTCGTGCCTTTTTTAATATCAAAACTGTCTGTATAATCTCCGTTTAAAAGTATCCTTGCTGATTGTTTATTATAAATTGCTTGGATTGTGTTTATAAAATTTTCACCAAAATCCATCTCCCTCAACTGTTGAAACATAAATTGCCAATTGAGATTATCAAAAGCTTTTTGTGCTTCCAAGAATATAAGAGCCATCTGTTTCCCCGGATGCTTTTCATAATATTCCAACACTTTTAAAATGATTCTTAAGTTATTCTTTATCTGTCTTTTAGGCAAAAAGCCATTTTGGTCTGAGCGAATAAATTCATTCAAGAATTTCTTCATTCTTTCCACTATTATTGCTGTGAATATTTTATAGTCCACATTTAATAATGATATTGATCTATAGTTTTTAATTTGTGCAAGGTCAGTATCGTCTTTAAGTATAAGAGAAATATTAGCTTCTGTCCAGGAATTTGGTATTTTTGTCACCAAAAAGGTTTCATTACAGAGATCTTTCAATATCGGGCTTACTATATCTTGTAAAGCTATATAAAATTCTGCTGGGAAACCATCAGGTCCCGGAGTTTTATCCTTCTATTGCCTTTTTATAGCTTCTGTAATTTCCATCATTGTTATCTTCTCATTTATCATATATTGCATATTCTCTGGTATCTTTGGAAGATCCACTTTTTTAAAATACTCCAGTATTGCCTCATTAGAAACCACCTCCGCCTTGTAAAGTGTCTCATAGTAAGCCTTGGCAATTTTTTTCAATGGGTCATTATGGCAATGTATTTCGCCTTTTAAATCTTGTAGTTTACTTATCAATCTTTTTTCTCTTTCTTTTTTCAATCTGTATGCAAGCCATCTTACAGTATTTCTTAATACATCTTTTAATGTTGATAGATTCACCAATCCTAATCCCACTTTCCTCTTTGCATATGTCTAGCAAGTCTCCTCCCCGGGCTATGTGTTTTCATGATCCATCAATATAGTTAGGGAAAAGTTTCTTTCTTATCATCATAATTATCTCCCCCCCCCTTTGTGGATTAATGTCCCTGGTGTTTTGCAGAAGACCTGAAATTGCAAATTTTGTCATAATTTGTAGAAAAGATATATCTCATATCATCAAGCCTAACCTAACTAAACATCAGTTAACTAATTTCCAGAGTACAAAAATACGGATTGGAAAAAGAAAATAAATAGAACGAGCATGTTGTTTAACACTTTTCCCATTTGCCTTTTCTCTGCTTCAGATCATACATGCCCAGGTATGAAATCTATTCCAATTGTTTCATGGCTGGATCCTTAGTGCAAGGAGTAGCTCAATCCTACTTCAGTCAGTAGAGAAGTCTGTTCTACCTAATCCTGATTCTGGAGAAGGAATTGGGAAATGGAGCTCCATCCTTTATTATCTAGCATGGGAAATCATTTATATGTATTATTTTTATTTTTTTATTCAACTGGGACAAAAACTACAGGTAAACTGGAACATTATGGATAAAGCATGCGACATTTTCATAGAACGATGTGGAACATATGCCCAACATTCCCAAAGTTCCCACTACATTGTTGAACTCTTTTCTTCATCCATTGTGACATACTAACACACAAATGTACATCAACAGAGGTAAAATAAGACAGAGCAAATAATACATATAGGAAAAGATCCCCATCTGCTTTATTTAAAAATTTACATAGCTTACACAATTCTAAAAAAAAACAAATTAAAAAAATGCTTGGGAACATGGAGTTTACATAAAAATTAGTACAAGTAAAAGAACTAAAAGGTAGCAGAATGATATACATACATTGTGAAAAAACAGAGAGGAAAAAATTAGGAAATAAGAGGAGAAATAGTTATATAAGCACATTAAAAGAAGATTAAACCAGATGAGTATGATGAAGGGAATAAATGAATCTATTTGTCATTTGTTAAGAGAGCAATATTAGAAACAAAATCAGAAAATTGGAATAGCCATTATGGATCTCTGTCTCTTTCTCCATTGTACTCTTTTGTTTCTTAAGGGAGTGGCCTGTTTTTGTAATAACTTCTTTTGAATTGTGGTACTATCCAACCACATAAGAGAGAAAAAGGATTTAAATTAGGGAAACAGTAATTAAATGTCTTAGTCCCAAATGACCACATTCTGTACACAGGCCAGGCCTTTTCTGAACCAGAGCACTGAAACTTTGGCTGAGAATGGTTTAACAAACAAATACTTAAAATCCTAATACCCTTGTCAGATTGTCCCAAATTCATACTATACCAGGGTTCCCCAATGTTTCCGGCTTTCCGGACTGGCAGGGGAAAAGAAGGTTCTGCATGAGTGACTGGCAAGCGTGCGCATGCAGCTCCATTTCCACAAGCAGTATGCATGCACACCTGCTGCTCACTTAAATGGAGCGCATGGAAACCTGCTCATCCGCTGCTTGCACAAGTGAGGATGTGTGTGCATGCTTATGCACTCACCAGCTGTTTCTGGGGCCCAGTTGGAAACCCCTCATGGACCACTATGAACAAGAGAAATGGGAGGCACCTGAGCTAAATTTCAAGTGTTGTTGCAAATGGTCTCAGTACTTATGCCAATGTGATAGTTTAGTTTTTTCTTTTTAATACATTTGCAGACATTTCTAAAATTCTATTTGTCATTATGGGGTACAGAGTGTAAATTAATGAGAAAAAAAATGAATTTCAAAAACTTTAGAATCGGCTGCAGCATAACAAAATTGACAAAAGTGAAAGGGGTCTGAATACTTTCTGAATGCACTATATGACTGTTGCTGTGTCCCAAAGACATGTGATCACCTTTTGCAATGTTGTAACAAGGTTACTAACTTATCAGCTGTAGTGATTCACCTAACAACTGCATCAAGAAAGGTTGTAAAATGGAGCAAAAGTCACTTAACAAATGTCTCATTTAACAATGGAAATTTTGAGCTCAGCTGTGGTCATAAGTTGGGGACTATCTGTATTAGGTATATTGGCCACCTTGAGTTATTTATAAAAATAATAAAGGTGGGATTAAAAAAAAACTTTAAAAAAAGATAAGAAAAAGTCTAAGTTAAGCACTGTTCTATCCATCCTTTCTCAACTCCTGTAACTCCTAAATACTGTTGTGCATCAGTTTGACTAAGACAATATTTCACCATGCAATCCTGATACTGATTTATTCCATCAAAGGGAACCAATTTAATGTTCGTATTCTGAACTCTATGAAATTTCTATGGCAAACTGTTTCTACAGAGCTTCAGCATATAGCAAACAATTGTAACTTTACTACAACATCTTATTGGACTGGGCTGGGGTGTATTGATTTAATGGTTGGCAAGATTGTTATAAAATTGACCTTTCAGATCAGACCATCATTGATTATCTCAGTCTCCAAAAGCTTAGTGTTCTATATTTGCTCCACCTCATTGTCCTTCATTGTTTTTTGTGAGCAATTTTAGACTAATGACCAATTTATTTTACAGACAAGAACAGTGAGTTAATCACTTAAAATTTCAAAAATAACTCTAGCAATCAGCTCTATCACTTTTAGGAAGGAGCAATATCTTTCCTTATAAATGCCATTGATTTTTGTACAAAACCTGGCTGTTCTGTTAGGAATTTGGCATGGATGTTCCTTACAAAGGGGTCACATTCTGTCACAAAGTAATAGGTTTCTTTTTTATTGAACAGATTTTAAATGAACATAACTCAGAATTTGTGTAACTATTTCTACATCTTTATCACCTCATAAACAATAACAACTCATTCTGTTGAAAAACTAAAGTTTTGTATATTTTTTCTCACGGTAGCCAATGGGAGTTTAATGTTCAGCTATTTATTTATTATTGAATTTATACTGCACATACCTATTTATTCCAGTGATCAATATAACTTACATCAATACAAATACAGTTTATGAGACATAAAATTAATGCAATAAAAATCAAAACCAAAATTAGAACCAGTCATTAAAATAATTAACAATTACATTCTTGGCAAAAGAAATTTGCTAAATATTTTTCAAGCCTTGCACTAGTTCTGGTCATGATTATCTATGGAGTAACCCAGAAGAGATAAAATTAATTTTGTAGTTGATAGCTTGCTGGCCATTAAACATATTTACTATCTGAACTGGTAGACAATTCAAACAATTAAAGTGTTACATGATGGAATCATTGTAACAACAATATTTGAACCAGGATTTTCTATTTATTTATTTAAAACATTTATATAGCTATCCATCTTATACCAAACTGGGCAGCTCCCAACCAATTTTCAACAATTTCTTAACCATGACATTTTTTGAGGGTGCTTGAGTAATCCCTGTCACTTCTTCTTTTCTGCTATTTTGGAAAGCTCCATCATTTATGCAGAAAAGCTGGATCTTGACTATACTGATATATTGATAAGCAGCACTTACCCTTTATCCCACTCTTCATTAATAGTCATTACAGTTGGTCATATAAGACAAGCGTTATAAGATATCCTTCACATTCCTGTTTGGAGAACAGTTCAGATATGGATACCTTCCCACAAATGAAGCAGCTCCTGCTACTACTTGGCTGTTGTTCCCCCTCACCCCAACTCAATTCTTCCATTTCCTCCCATTGTTCAAGAGAGGTTTCCTTCCTGTTGCCTTCTCCCACCCTGCAAACAGAAATTATTCACTTTACTGTGAATGTGGCAATGATCCTCTACATGAGAATATTTTATACATGTTACATGTATACCTCATTGAGGTGATAATTCTATATTTTGAAGTATTTAAACTGCAATGGGAACATTGAAGATACTGAAGATACTTTCTTATATTGATCTATATCTTTATAGAATAGGAAACTCTAATTAAGAATTGGCCCCAAATTTTTAGAGACTTATTTGGCTTATTTTCAAACACTATTCCTATCCTCTTCATCAATTTTATAGCTGAGCTAGCAAAACAAAACTCACAAAGATTTATTTTAGTCCTGTAAACCTTGTAATTATCCTGCCAGTTAAGATAATTAAATATAATAGAAACTTTATATGTAAGGCCTATGAATACATGCTGAGAAAATGACAATGTCTGATTAATGTAAATTACAAATCTATGGGGGTTGGTAGTTCGGCTCATGAGTTGTACAAATTTGCTGTTGTCTAGTTTATCCCTGGCCATCATCTTTTTTGCTTTATTTTTTATTGTATTATATTATTGATATTTTTATTTATATATTTTATTTAAATAAAATATTTATTGATATTTTATTGATCAGTTGTTTTGCGAAGTGGACAGTCATATATATCCAATAAAATAAATTAAAAATTACAATAAGGACATCAATAGAATGGAGAATATTCAGAGAAGGCTGCCAAGATGACGAGGCAACTGGAAGCCAACTTCTATGAAAAATTGATTGTGCTTCGTCTAGAGAAGAAGAAGCTCATCAGTGGGTGATCCAACCTGGAACTAAGGAGAAATTTCCTGACAGTGAGAACAATTAGTCAATTGAACAGCTTGCCTCCTGGATGGGTACTCCATCACTCAAGGTTTTCAAGAAATGAGTGAACAACCATTTGTCTGGGATGGAATAAGGACTCCTGCCTTGGGCAGCGGATCAGATTAGAAGATGTTCAAGGTCTCTTCCAGCCCTATAATTATATAATAGGAGCTGTGTTAGCTGTGTTCGAATATCTAAGGGACTATTATATAGAAGAGGGAGAAGACTTGTTGGAGGATAGCAAGCCCAGAACCAATGAGTATAGTTAAATGGTATATAGCAAGGGTTCCAAACTCCTGGGTCACGACCTGTTCAGAACATGGCTGTGGAAATGGTGGGCAAGCGCATGTGTGCAGCTCCACTTGCATGTGCAGCGCACAGGTAGGTGAGTGAGGATGAAGGAACAGCTCGATTTGATTAATGGTTGATCTGCCTTCCCTAATGTCTGCTTATTCATTGCCAAGAAATTTTTCCTACTCTAACCATTCAAGAAGTTTATAAAATAAACTAGAAATACTAAGGGGACTAATCAGGAGATATTTGGAAGAGATCATGCTATTATCTGTGACAAGATTTTATTATTCATGTTCTATATATGAAATATTTAACATATAGAACTTCAGTACTGCATATTATATTTATAGTATTTTATTACTTAGATATTTTGTTACCCAGGCTCTTTTTAATTCAGTATTCTCTTAATATACTCACTGCATTGAAGTAAACTGTTGTATGCAATCTTATTGATCTTTTAGATATTAGGCATTTTAATAGTTTTCTTTAAACAAATGTTTATTTTCTTTTGTGCCATGGCTTTTCATGCTTTTAATCTGTTAAAATTTACTGTTTAATTTTATAGCCAGTAACCATAACAGAGATTATCTATGTGTCTATTTTCCTTTTATTTCTAATATGCATAAAGAAAACTTTTTAAAATTATCTTTGCAATCTCTAACAAGCCTTAGCTTATTCTGTTTTAGTTTTTCTGAAAAAAATCTGAAAAAAGGAAGCTACTTTGTACTTTTCTTTGGTTATGTGTTCTTTTTTTCATTCCTTAAATATGTGCCTTTCTCTTAAGCATTTTCGAGCAACTTCTTCTCTGCTTCTAAATATTGTTATCTAATTTGGCATATTCCATCATTATTTGTTTGAATCCTGCTGTTATTACTTTTATAAATAACTCAAGGCAGCGAACATATCCAATGCACTTTCCTCCTGCTATTTTCCCCACAACAACAATCTGTGAGGTGGGTTGGGCTGACAGAGTGACTAGCCCAAAAGTCACCCATGACTGAGGTTTATGGCTAAGGCACGACTAGGACCAGTGGTGAGATTCAAATAATTTAACAACCGGTTCTCTGCCCAAAGAGCAACTTAAGAACACGTAAAGGAACGGACTTCCCTGAATGCTAAAAGTAAAGGGGGGGGGGCAGAGTAAGCCACCTGAGGAAGAGGCAGAGGGGGAAAACTTCTGCAGGGACAAAACTTTTCAAGTGCCGGGCAAGTGATCTGCAGAGTGAAGTGGGGGCAGCGGGGACTGAAGAAAGCTCCTCCAGAGGCAGACATGGCTCTTGTGCAGCGATGGCAGAGCCTTTCGCCATCACTCCCCTCCTGACTCCAAAATGGCAGAGGGGGACCGGGTAAGGCCCATCCTCCATAGCATGGCAGTCTGGCTCAGGAGGGAAGTGAAAGGGAAGAGGCAGGCAGGCAGCTGATGTGATCAAAGGTGCCACATCTCTGTTTGGTTTCTGTCATTCCTCTCCTGGACTTTTGGGGAGGGTTTTTTTTTCCCCAGCTGGAAGGAAGTTGAACGAAAACCAGACGTGTTCCGGAAAACACAGATTTATCATAACCAATTCACCGAACTCAAAAAATTAGGTATCGGTTCTGCCAAATTGGTACAAACCAGCTGAATCCCACAACTGACTAGGACTCATAGTCTCCCACTTTTTAGTCTGGTGCTTTAAACCAAAATACTGGTTATATAGTTATTACAGACTATGTTAAACCTTCTAGTGAAAGAGTGATTTTAAATGTCTTGGGACTGTTGACCATAACCAGATATCAAAAGTTATTTTAATTGTTCTGCACTTTTTTGGCAATTTATTTTTATACTGCAACTTGCCACTTTCAAATTAAGAAAAATCAACATCTGATCCTATTAAATTATCTGACAAAATACTTCATACTCTACCCAGATTTTTTAACAAGATGTTTGTTTAGCTATTTACAAGGATGGCTTCTCCCATTAATTAAATTTAAGCATTATTATAACCATACCTCCATATTAGCTTAGAGTGCAAGTAGAAATTTCATACTTAGAAAAAATACCAGATTTTAATGATCTCCAATATATAATGGGGATTGTTAGGGTTTTTCTTAATGTAGTACATATCATAGAAATAAAAACTGTATTTGTTTTTTCTATAAAACTGATTGTACAAAATTTATTTTTATTTATTTTATTTATTTGTATCCCATCTTTATTATTTTTACAAATAACCCAAAGTGGCCAACATATCCAACGCACCTTTTTTTCCCCACAACAACAACAACCCTGTGAGGTGAATTGGGCTGAGAGAAAGTCTAATGCTAATATTATGCTTACTTTTATTTTCTCATCTTATTAACACCACCTGTCTTATTCTACTGTCTTCCTATTACTATTCCATAGTATGTATTTAGAATTGTTTTTAATTTATGTTTGTTTGTGGCGATGTTACTATGTATGTAGTGGCATGTTTTCTTATACAACATTAACTATTTTGTAGCTCTTTAAATCCTTTCTTTGTTCCCCCAGATTTTCAACTCCCATAGCCAATTTCAGACCATTTGCACATGAAAACCCTTTTCACTTCTCCATAAGCTTGTGAATTGGCTTTGAATTTAATGTATGTCTTCACTGTAAAAGTCGGGATACATTCAGAGATGTATATACTGTAAAAATAGCCAATGTTGAAGTAAATATCATAGTCAATAAAATTTATAAAATTTATAAAATTCGTCAAATTTCAATTCCATGAGAATCATAGGTCCCAGATTTTGGACACATAATTTTAAGTTAGTCCATTTTAGATGTATACTGTAAATTAGCCCATTTGAGGTACCTTGATTCCAAAATTGTTGCCGTATGATGCATGGTTTCACTAGTTAGAAGTTATTGGAATAAGAGTGTTGATAATATAGGTACAGTAGTCCTTGATTTACAACCTCAATTGAGCCCAAAATTTCTGTGGCTGAGCAAAACATTTGTTAAATGAATTTTGCCCCATTTTCACAACCTTTCTAGCCACAGTTATTAAGTGAATAACTGCAGTTATTAACTTAGTAACATAATTGTTAAATGAATCTGGCTGCCTCATTGCTTGCTTATCAGAAGGTCACAAAACATGGTCACATGACCCTGGGACACTGCAACTGTCATAAATATGAGTCAGTTGCCAAACATCTGAATTTTGATCATGTGACCATGGGGATGCTACAATGGTCCTAAGTGTGAAAAATAGTCATCAATCATTTTTTTCAGAGCTGTTGTAACTTTGAATGGTCACTAAACAAACTGTTGTAAATTGAGGACTTACAACATATAAATCTTGCATGCCATTAAATTCTCAATGACTCTGGGCAGTTCACAACAATCAAAAAAATTTAAATAAAATTAAAATAGTGCTAAAACTTCTCTGATTTGTATAGTGTGTGTGTGTGTGTGTGTGTGTGTGATCTTTATTTGGTTTGGGGATTGGAGAAATTTAATTAAGGCAAACTGGTAAACCATCATATTCAAATACATTCAAGTAAAAAAGTTTAGAAATAAAATTATTATATGAGTTGTCTGCAGTTCTTTAAGTGCAAACATCCAGGCCAGACACTTTCTACCCTTGAGTTGAGCTATTAACTTTATTTTTAAGTTTTTCTTTCTGGGGATGCTGGGTTGGGGAAATTGCTCAGCTGAATTTTGAACTGAGTGATGATGCTTTGGACTAAATCTATGGTTGTATAAAGCAGTGGTTTTTAACCTGGGCGATATTGCCCCCCAGGGGGCAATTTCATTTTTCAGGGGGGCGATGGAATGAAAAGGGGCGACATG